CATCTTTCTCTCTGGGACTCTGAATGTTGTACTAATGTCCTGTATGCTACAGTCTCAAAGTCATCTCTCTTTCACCAAAGTGTCTGTGATCAACCTGATAGCAGTGCACTCCATTTTCCTTCTCACACTGCCTTTTCGCATTTACTATTATGCTTCTGATAAAGACTGGATTCTGGGCATGTATTTCTGTAAAATTGTCAGTCTTATGATCCATGCCCACATGTATCTTGCATTTATCTTCTATGCCTTCCTTCTAATTGTGCGTTATGTGGAGCACTCTAATCAGCGGCACAAGCTAGAGTTTCATCGCATCCTTCACGCCACGATTGCAAGCGCAACCGTCTGGTTGATCATGTTTGGCTCTATGTTCCCAGTAACTATTTCTAACTACGGAATGACGCAGAATGATTCAGCTCAGTGCTTTCATTTTGGTCAGGTTCTCATGCAGCCTAGTGTGAAGACATTAAACTATGTTATTTGTATACTAGTAATACTGGTTTGGAGTGTGCTAGCATTTTTCCAAGTTTATTTTCTACTCAACGTGAGTAAGACATTTGGAAAGGCCACATGTCAACGTCAAGAGTTCTGGGCACAACTGAAAAACGTTGTTTTCCTGTCGGTCATGTTTTTTTGTTTTGTGCCCTATCAAGGATTCAGAGTATATTATGTGAGTGAATATGGCAAGACTGAAGAAATGCATCATATAAATGAAGTATTTCTTGCTGTCACTGCTTTCAGCTGCTTTGATATGATTGTTTTTGCTGGTAGAGATGTATGCAAACTTATAAATTCAAGGGGATGGTTTCAGTGTTTATAGCATCTATGTTGTATATTGTTTTTGATATAGTGAATTCTTTTCCATTTTGCTTTCCTAATGGTTTCCATTTTTTTGATGCTTTTGTGCCTTATAAGCTTAAAAAAAAATTGTTCTGTCTTATATATATATATATATATATATATATATATTGCAAGAAACATTATTTCAAAATGCATATGTTTATTTCTATAATGATATTATCTGCTGTGTACTTATGAACAAATGTTTTAATTTTATCTGGAACAAAACTGTCAAACCACCACTGATACAGCCAATTCAATGACTGATAAGGTGTGGGTGTGAGTTCCTCATGACTGTACATCAGTAGTGCTAATTATAAAGTTTACAACAGACCCATCACTGCTAACTGAAAGACTTTTTAAGGTGTCACACAAAAACAGTCATTTCAATGCAATTCAAAACAAGTCATTTCAAAGCAATGAAAACTGGATAGAGTTAAATAACTTCTGTTTATACTAATTTCTGCAAAGGGAGAATACCTTTTTTTGTATTTTAGCACCCTCTAGAGGCGTTGAAACGCTTGCATGAGTGTTATTATTATACATCCTCAATCGGCTATTAAAAAACTTGTGAAATAATTACTTTACTTCAGAACTGCTTCATGCCAACAATAACCTGACTTCTGTTATGATATAAGCACTTCTTCTTCCTCTTACCTTTATATTATTCCTTTTATAGTGAATGGAAAGACCTTCTTTCCTACTGGATAGGCTATGATTGTTTCTGACGTAAACACAAAGTTAATTTTGTCTGCTATTGAAAAATGTATAAATAACACATGATGTTCTGAAACACATAGTGGGTTGAGACTAAAATTACATCCCTGCACTGGTATGTTGAACACTTGGCGAACCCAGAAGCCACTTCCAGTAAACTATGACTGATTATATACTGTAATACCATAAAAACATCCTCATGTGGGACCAATCAGCACCCGCAATAAACTGTAAAACCAGTAACCCCAGCTGATAGGGTTTTTGTTTAGGCCTACACCCAAGTGGTCAACGAAAATACATTTTTTGTGTGCTCATAAAAACCCGTGCAATAACGTGAATTAATGTAAAAGAAACTGCATCACTGCAACATGGCTATTTCTTTAGAGATTTTTTATTAGTATGCAGAAAATGTTAGTGCTCCCTTAAGTATAACTTGCCACTGAAATAACTGTCTTGTGATATCGCTGCAACAGCCGGGAAAGCTATAAACTAGCTATAATAAACGTCGACTTGATAACAGATGCCAAATTTTCGTTGCTTTTCTGCTTGACAGGTAATATCGTAGATGTCTATATCTATATAATAATATAATATAATTGCCTAGTCACCATGGATACGACAAAGCAATGGGTTGTGGAAAGAGAAGGCTCGACGATTTAAGCAAAGTCTTGAGGAAGTTGTCTTAACAGCACCCTGTCTTTTTATTAGATTATATCAAATTGTTGCTATTTTCACAAAAACCTGATATTCTATATTGTTCAGCATACAGCATAAATCATGTATGCAGCTGTTTAATAAGCACTGAATATGAAGTATTCTCTAAAACTTTTTATACATGGCTTGAGCTGCAATGCACCTGACAATGTAGTGTTTTCTGAGCTAATGTGCTTCATTGCAGATATTAAACAGTCTAACCTCATTTAAAAAACAAACAAACATTAATCTCTCCTGTCAAAATATGATATAGTGGAAGATGCAGTATGCATGTGTACAATCATGCTTGGAGGACTAATCATGTCACATTTTATTGTGCACTTAGCTTAACGACCAACTGAGCTGAAATGTCTTAAAATGTGTTGCAAAACGTCTTCTTGTGACTAGCAGTGGGAAACTCATTCTAGTATGACATATTAGGTAAATGCTGCTGTTTGTCACAATGTTTTCAACTCAGTTCTAGCTTTTTAGTTGTTAAGTATGTATTGTGTAGGCCTATGTATTAACTCCAATTGAGATCTGTACTGTTTCCGTACTTCTCTATAAAAATAAATTATATCGTCAGTGTAGCTGTTTTTGTTAGTAGATGGCCGTGTAGCTAAATACTTTTGAAGTTTAGATTTACTGTAGTCTTCTTCAAATTAGGAGCGGTTTATAACTTTGGACTAACAATTCAGACTATCATTGCTTAAAGTATTTGACTGTATTACTTATAACAGAAGTGGTACCAGTGCCCGTCTGGTGGTCCCAGAGTATTTTTTATTTACTGTGACAGTATAAAATCATTGCTAGTTTTGGATTATGGTTATGATTCTGACTGTGTATCTAAACCCAAGAAAGATTTATCTTCAGATGATGAATTGTAATGGAATGGGAGTTAATTGTGAGTATAGGGAAATAAGTGCCTTTTCATCCTCTAATTTTCCACTCAGTGCCACCGGAGTGAATGAACGCCTGTGTCCGCTGCTCCACAGCGGAAGTCCCCCCTCCAGACAAGCTGTCTCTCTGTGTGTTGCTTTGGCTGATGGCTGGCAGAAATGGGATTAACAGTGTTTTCATACAATGGTGCCTCTCATATGACATCATGCTGACATTTTCGTCTGCACTGAATACCTTTACAGACAAAGACAGCAGCAATCTAAACTGATCAAACAGAAAATGTCCTGTATCTGATTGTCCATTTCCTTCGTTAACTCACCATGCCTGAAAAGAGAAACCATCATCCCATCATGATTCATGTTTTTACAAATATGTTAATCCACATATTTTATGGCAAATCTTTCTTAAAAAATGTCTCTTAAAAAAATTTGTGGATGTCTCAGACAGCATGTCCACTGACCACCCATATTTTGTTAAATGACTGGCTAAAAAACACTTTCTCGGTCTGGCAAGCTGTAATCTGATTGGCTGACTTTATGCAGCTTTCAGGAACAATAGAACAGGATTTTTTTCATTCCGTCTGGAAATCAGGCAATGTTTGCAAGATACAATAACTGGATTTGCCAGTTAATAGCACTATATATATATATATATATATATATATATTAATGTAAAATAATTCATTTTTAATTTTGGTCTGACATTTTCAGTTTTTATGTTAGCTAGTTATACGCTAGTGTGTGTGTGTGTGTGTGTACTGTGTACATATTTGTTTAGTTTGAATGCTGTAACTGCAATTTGTAATAATGTGCGTGTACAGTTTCGAATTGACCTCTATATATATATATATATATATATATATATATTAATGTAAAATAATTCATTTTTAATTTTGGTCTGACATTTTCAGTTTTTATGTTAGCTAGTTATACGCTAGTGTGTGTGTGTGTGTGTACTGTGTACATATTTGTTTAGTTTGAATGCTGTAACTGCAATTTGTAATAATGTGCGTGTACAGTTTGCAAAAAATTGCCAAAGTATTGCTGCCTTCACATGTTGAATTACCAAAATATTGATTGACAACTTGGAAATGGCCTAACCCCCTAAATTCGTTGATTTATCCTCTCCAAAAAGTGGCAGAGAAGAGGGCAGTTTCAATAGTGAATTGTTGGTATAATAAAAATACATTGCAGTTTCGGTCATATACAAAGTTCTGGCATGAAACTCTAGATGGCGCAGTCAACTCAATATGACATAATGACATCATTATCACATATCACAGCTGATTGGTTTTCTCTTGTGGTAGCCAATGAGCTCGCTGCTCGACATTCAAATACTTGACTAGTGTTTGCTGTAGCAGTAGCAGCGCACTTCAGAAACCCTACACCTTCCACAGCTCCACATGTATATATCTGCTATGGGGTGATCAAGTATGCTATATGGGGGTTATTCATATATATTATATGTGCAGCAGCAATATTTCTTACTTGCTCACAGCAGCATGTTGTGGATGTATTGGCAGTAGCAAGTCTTGGTACTTGCTCTGTCGCAGCAGCAGCGTAGCAGATCTATTCTGCCAAGACCAAATACATTAACATTGTCATGTACATTACCATGCCAATCCCTCCAAGAGTTGTCATGACAGAAATACATTTATGTGCACAATATTTTTTTGTCTAACTATTCTGTTTGACCACAAAAATTAAGTAGATTGTCATCAAGTCTGACACTGTCTCTTCAATGGGAGCGTAGAGGTGCGATTTGAAACGTGAGCGCGAGATGTCGCTGTGGGACACGTCGTCATCACTGCAGCAAGGTGCTGGGATGGGGATGGTCCAGCAGGGAAGAGGAGGAGAGAGAGGGAGAAAGCAGACGCTGCTGCTGCTGCTGCTGCTGCTGCTGCTGTGTCCGTGGCTACCCACCGCAGTTTTCCGGTCTCCTTCTATCCTCCCGGTTTTCCTTGGATACCTATCGGATGCTATCCTTTCCTCGACACGCCAGCATCTCTGCTTTCAATGCCAGTCGTTGGGAATGATTTCCGTGTGTCGCTCGCTGTGAATTGTCGGCATTAATAGGGGAGGGGAAGCGAGAAGAGCGTTGTTCTTCTGGACGTTATTCGGTAAGCGCAATGTCATTCCAGTTGCATTTCCAGCTGTCACATTCCCCACCTACAACCACGATATCTGCCAAGAAAACGCTCGAAACATTTGCGAAACCCCCGGTACGCGTATTAGCAGCCCATGTTATGTGTTTGTTAGCATGTGGATGTCGCTGGTTTTGTGTTTAGTTTATTTTATCGCGTTTAATGCACGTATTCAGACGGCTGTGAGCGCGGGCTGGGAACTGAAAATGGAATCCATTAGAGAGCATCATTCTCCAACCAAGACGGATGGGAGGGGGAGCACGAGCACAGAAAACCTATTACTTCCCTATTGACCTAAATTTCAATGATGTATTTATAAGATTACACTAGTCCACGGACATGACCGCTGCTTCTTTGTCTAGTTTGACAGCATGTTCCTCGCATTTCGTTATGAAATCCAAACTGTCAACGGCTTTGCTTGTAAAGCACCGTTTTCATTTGTGTCCATTCATTCTGAATTCTTGATTTACTGGTACGTGTAGCCTAATTTTTTTTGACCATTACGACTGAAAATGAGCATATTTGACCTTCTAACATAGAAACATCCTTTATAAGACATTGTTTAAATAGATGTTGAGTATGAAAGAGGAATATAGCCTATTAGTTTAGGTGTATTAATGTGGAAATGGGAGGGCTGTATGTGGCTAGACTGACCGCCTCTCTCTGCACTTGCTTAGGTGAGGCCGTCTTGAAAAAGAATAAACAATAATTCAGCTGGTATAGTAACTATTAGGCCCTCATGTCATATGTGTTTATTAATTTATAGGCTATTTTAATAATATGCTATCTTTTCCCACATGTTGCACATTCATGTATATGTTATCCATAGTATGCTGGTGCTCACTTATGCATAAGCAGCTCATTAACAAGATAATTATCACAGTTTTCTCTTTTATTTTCTTACATTTTTTGATAAATGTATGGTTAAAAAATGGGCCACTGTGGTTGCAATAATTTTACTGTAAAAATATTGTAGTCTAAAGGTTGCAAACTTTACAGGATGGCATTTTGGTGACTGTATATTTTACAGTTCCTAATTGTGTCTAAAGATGTGATCTAAAAATGTGATATTTCATGCAGAGAATTCTGCAGAATTCTGGGAATCCCCCTTTACCTATAAATTAAAAGTCTGGTGATTTATTTTACACACAAGAAGCAGAATTTTAACAATAATTTACACTTAAAGTATACTTATTGCTTTGTTAAATAGGCTACAATATAAATGTTTTTCTCTTAATAATAATTCAGTTTTTTATTTATACAAATATGTGTATATATATATATATAGAGAGAGAGAGAGCGATAGAGAGAGAGAGTAATATATTATAGTATAATTACATTAAAATAGAACATTATTTTTTATCATAATATATTTACCATATATAAGGTTACTTACAGTTAACCAATTAGCAGTTATTACTGGAACATTTTACAGTGTAGGTATATTAGCAGTTATTCTTTTTTTTTGCAGCAACAAGGAGAGATGAAGTGTTGCTGCAAAGGTTTGATTTACTGATACATTAATGCACAAAAATACTTTGCCACAGAAAAAAATCAAAAGAGATATAATGCAACAGAGAGAGAGAGGGAGATGGAGAGAGAGAATATTGATCGTTCAGGGGATCGGACATTCTCAGGTTGATCATAGATTATACATTGCATATGATTTTTTTTTTTCTTTTTTTTTTGTGCAAAAAGGTTTCAGCAGACCTGCCCCTGGTATTCAACATTTGAATGTGCTGATGCACCCACACCAAGAGCATGCTCTCAGAGAGCAACAGTGCATGACTGTGAAATATTGTAAATATTGCATACTGGTATTAACCTGCTAGCTACCGTATATGGCTGCATATGATTTAGAATGGAGGAGCTGTGTATGCATTTTGTAACGGGTCATGTTCACTTAAAGACCTCATTGAGGTATCTCACAGAATAACAGGATGAGCGGCTCTTTTATTATTTGCAATATACAATCAAAATTAGTGCAAAATGCATTCAAAACACCCATAAACATTTATAACATTTTTAGCTAAATGTTAAATGTTCAAGTATTCAATACAGATAGAAAACAGTTATGACCTGACTTTCTCAATAGATCTCCAAATTCAGAATAATGGACAGGCAATCAATAGCTTAAACTTGGTGTGAAGACATTAAAATGTGCAAAAGCAGAGTGCTGGTTTTATTATTAATTATTAAAATGGTGCAGCACATGGAGCGCATTAGTACTTATAATAGGCGTTTTACTAACAATTTGTTTTTTCTTGTCATTATCCCAAAGCAATTCCTGTTAGTTTTTATCATTTTTCTGTTTGTCATTGCTAGCCTGCGGTAGTCTTTATTCAGAGGTAGTCTTAATTTCATACTATATATATGATCTAACAGGTTAACCACCGTTTCTTTTAGATTGATCTTGTTTTATAAATGCAGGTTTTGTTTTATTTGCCATAAATATTTAGTTATACATTTTTGATCATTTTTTTCCTGTAATTTTTTTGAACTGTTTTGTTATAAGGTAACAAAGGAACTATATCATGCTCATATAGTGTTCAGTATTCTGCTCAGGAGAAAGTAATAGACTTATTGATAAATATCAGACTTGACTCCAGCCACTTGGTATGGACTGACTCCTAGCTCTTCTGATAATGACCCCAGAGATAAAGCTGGTGATGACATAGATGCTTGCCATTGTTGTCATCTGAGCTGACACTCACAGCTGATATGTAGTTATAAGCTGTCATACAGGAGGATATGAAAGTGCAGAGTCTTTTATATTTTTAAGAAGATCTGCCAAATAGTGACCTGGAATTTGATGAATCTTTCATGGCTCGATTTGAGGCTTTATGAGTACATTTAATTTGTAGCTTGATGTGCCAACACTATAGTAGTTCAACTCAAAGGATGTGAAAGAGAAAAGATTACTTTGTACATATGATGTGTACATGATTATTATTAACTTGTCCTCTCATATTTGAAGATCAATATCTATTATTGGCTTCAGAGAGGCACTGTAAAATATGGCATTCAGTATCACAATTTTATGAGATTAATATAGTAATGTCTTACAACAAAATACTATATTCTAAATTTTACTGTGAAATCAATGCAGACTAGCATTTTTTCCATCATAACACTGGAAATGACATATTAGTAACGCTTTATGATCAGATTTGATTTGTTAACATTAGTTAGCTTCATTAGTAAACACGAATTTACAGTGCAAAATACTTATAAAGCATTTATTATTCTTAGTTAATGTTAATTTCAGCGTTTAGTAATACATTATTAAAATCAAAAGATGTATGTTAATATAATGTATTTGAGCGAACATGAAGAAATAATGAATAGTTGTATTTTATTAACTAAGATTAATAAATACTGTAACAAATAGATCACTCATTGTTAGTTAATGTATTAACTGACGGGAACCAATGGGACCTTATTTTAAAGAGTTATTTTAAATACTGTACTGTATGCTGGGAATCAAACTGTTTTGTTTAAAGTAGTTGATTTAAAATATTTAGCTATTACGTGGCTTTCTGAAATTCTGGATTCTACATTCACATCTTATATCACACCGTGCCATCTTGCTTCACAGTTATTGATTGTCATGAAAAAATGACCTCAGAGGACTTTAGTATTGAGTTAATAATGATCTAATATTGTTGCATTGTCCGTCTTGTGGTTAGACCAGTTGTTTTGTACGTTGTAGTGAACCATTTTTTTTTCTAGTGGAAGCTTTAAGATAATATACAGGTAAGATTATAATGTCAACAAATTAATTTATTCATTTTGTAGTTGTGTCTTTGCAATTATGAGCAGAACAGAATCCTTTAGATATGATCTTGAAATCGAATAGCCTCCTCTTGCTAATTTCCCATGTGCGTTAAGTTGCCTTATTGTTATTGGGCAGTGTCTTTTCCCAGCATTGCCTTGTACACAGATCAAGTGCTTGAGTGAGCGATCTTTCCTCAACTTCATTTAGCCAGTGTACCATGGAAACATCTTCTTATATGTGCGCGGCCAATGCACCGGGGAGCTGCCTTGCTTATGCACACGCTGTCAGTGCTCCAGAAAAGACTTGATAGGAGGGCAGAAATACATTCCTACCTGACTGCCTGGATTATACAGACCTGGAGTGAGGAGAGACAAGCTGTGCTCACTGAGCATTTGCACTTGTGATTAAGGAATCCACTGACACATGAAATATGAAGTATGAGAGACAGCAGGGCCCTGGCTATCTATTTGTAGATTTTAGAATTCAAAAGGAAGGTTAGTGTTGTTTTTGCAAATGCCATTGTATTTTTTTGTGTGAAGAATGGTTTAAAGTTCCCAACCTAAACAGCAATAGTTTGCTATTTAAATGCAATATCGGTTTATCTGAATGATCTTTTTAGTGTATTTTCAGAGGTTTATCTTGACGTCAAATAGCCGTTGTGTGAATATGGTGCTATTATGACAAACTGGGCCATGAACTTGCTTGTGCGAACAGTGCCATACTCTCTATGCCACTATGCTACTGTATCGTATTATTATTATTAGATGGAGTACTTTATTCTGATTGATCAATTGTAGTATTCAGTCCACAATTGCTTTTTTATAGTGGCCGTTCAACTGGACAGTTGTCTGGACTGTTGTCACAGGCAACTGATTTTCTACATAACTGTTCTAGTTTCATGTCCTTTGCAGCACAATGTTGTCTCTTTCTTCTTATATAATAAAATTATTTAATTTAAATCACTATTCCATATCAATTAAATGCAAAAATGGATAAGCAGCCATGAGGCAAATTGGAGTTATACATCAGATGTGCATTCTTTTTCAATAATTCAACAGACCAGTGTCAATTATTTTGCTTATACCATGTTTACCACACCTCAAGATGTTTTAGAGAGAGAAAAGCAGAACGAAGGTGTACTTTCATAGATAATGCTATTATCTAAAATTAAAATATGAATTATTAAATATAATGGTAA